GGTAGAGCAGACAGGACTCTGTCGGATATTGCCCGAGACTGTGCTAAGTGATCCCACACTTACTCGTCGCACTACCCCATCTCACCTCTTGTCTTCCCGCTTTTTCACTTCCACGCTATACAATCTTTCACCTCCACGCTACTTCATCCCAACGTTGACTCAACGTGTGGTCGTGCTGTTCTGTAAGACCTTATCTTACAGGGGCTATAAAGACCTTTACATATATCATCAAGATGCAATCTGATCCAATAGGTCCAAGTGGAACATCACCTACCACCCCCATTCCCAAACCTTCAACCGCAAAAACAATCACCAAACCTCAAAAAAAAAAGAGAAGAAGAAAAGGTTTAGCAGGTTTATTCCTTGCTCTTGGATGTTTATCAGCGGAAGAATTCGAAGATTCACCTAAAAAACCTTCAAAGTCATCTAATCAAACTACGAAACCTTCAGTATCCACTAATCCTACAAAACCTTCATCACAAATCCAAACACAAACGGAATCAGAATCGAAAGCACAGGATTCGAAATTATCTTCTACTCCTACTATCACATCTCCTGAGAAGAAAGAGAAAGAGAAGGACACGGTTGTCGACTTGATTGAAGAGAAAGAACAGAATAGGGTAGAAGGAAAAGGAAGCGATGAAACTGGTCATCATACTACAGAAACGACAGGTACAACATTGGCAGAACCTATAACAATGGAGGACAAGGGGAAAGAAATTAATGTGCTTCCTGAGGTTGTGGTGGCTCCTGTTGCACCTGTCACTCTTCCCGATGATGAGGTGGGTGTTCATTCTCAATCGTATCTCACTGTCATCACTTTCAGACCCTCCTCTCACCCGCCCCGATCTTAGTTAATCCACGTCAACCTATTGTGCCATTATGCAGAGTTAGGAGCACTGGTAGAGTCCATCGATTCGTAATTACTAGCATGCCAGTCAAACTCATGGTTGCCTTTGTTTTTCTGGTCTCTAATCTCGATCACTCAGCTCACTTTCAGACTGCAGGCGTCACATCATCCGCCGTTCAACCTCCCGGGTCTGGCTCGGACCTCTTTCACACACCTCCACGTCTCCTTCACCGAGAAAGCGACTCTGCCGGAAAAACAGATTCCAAAGATCCTACCGATACGTCAGGTGGATATAGCGGTATATCCGAGTCAGACTTGACGGAATTGGACCAATCAGCTATCTCACAACAAGACGAAGTGGAATATCATCTTCAAGAATACGAGGATGAAGAGGATAGGTTGATAGCTCAAGGTGGAATGGGTATACCGCTAGACGAACATGGTCATCCGGCACCTTTATTACCTCCTATAGATAAAGCACATCTAGGAAGGAAATGTTTGGTATTGGATCTGGATGAAACTTTGTTACATAGTTCTTTCAAGGTGGGTCATAGGTCTTATCCCCTCATCTCATCTCATCTCTTCAACTTATCTGCCTTACGCAATTTCATCACATGATGAGTCGCCGCTTCAATCATATTCCCTCTTGACCTATGGACCGGGGAGATTTGTCGTTACCGTAGCTTCAATTGAATTTTCGGGTACAAGCTGACTCGCAGATGCTCCCTTCCGCAGACTATATAGTCCCTGTAGAGATAGAAGGTCAGGTCCACAACGTCTACGTCATCAAAAGACCAGGGGTGGATAGATTCTTATATGAGATGGGAAAGATATACGAGGTTGTGGTGTTTACTGCGAGTTTGAGCAAGGTGAGTACGAAGTTTTAGTCCAGCTTGAAGCGTCTTTCTTTCTGTGACATGGCGCACACGCCACTATCCATCTTCCCGTCTCTGATCGCGACGTGGGCCTCTGCCACAAAGAGAGGATGGGCGTAAGGGTCAACGATATCCTCACCTTTTGCGTAAACACCATCTACTCACCCAGAATGTGAGACCAGTGAGGGAATGGCGGCGTCTCCAGTAACCGAATGAAGACTTGGCGATTTGCGAAGATGGGAGTTCTCGCTGATGGACAGTATGCAGACCCAGTGTTGGACATGCTCGATCCGAATGGAGTGGTTCTGCATCGTCTTTTCCGAGAGAGCTGTTATAATCATAAAGGGAATTATGTCAAGGTGAGTGGTAATCCGTGTCCACTCCTTCATCCGTCGGAAATACTCACCCGGGCTTTCTGTTTCATTCATCGCCATCCCAAACCCCTGTCTTTTTCACATGTGTGCGCAATCACTCATTTAACATCCGCGTCTGCATCATTTTGCTCAAGTAAAGTCTTCATCCGCCCTTCTTCGTTCCAACGGGAACTGTGCATTGTTGGAAGTATGAATTACTCACACTCAGGATCTTTCCCAACTCGGTCGAGATATGGAATCATGTATCATCCTCGATAATTCACCCGCTTCGTATATTTTCCATCCCAACAACGCCGTGCCCGTATCTACTTGGTTCAACGATCCTCACGATACGGAATTGACGGATTTATGTCCTTTTTTGGTTGATTTGGCCACTGTGGATGATGTCCGAGGTGTCCTCGATGGTGCTGTTTGAGCGAGGTCTTGTATTCCCATGTACTCCCTCCTCATTTTCTCGTCCATCGTCCATCGTCCATATCTTATCCTATCGACCCTTTTTATTCGGTCCTACACTACACAATTATTCCAATCCTTCTTACGGTCAACACACACGAATTCAACAGACCAACATGATTCTCTTCAACATATTCGACATGTACACGCTTTCTTTCTCTTTCTACCAACGTCCCCTTCATCATCTCACCGCCGTCACCCTTACGACATCGGACTAGTCTCACAAGAACCTGAAATTTCCAATCATGCATTCTCTCACTTTTGATACCCGATAATCTGCATCATACCCTTCAACATATACCCCCTCGACACGTCATTCAACGTTCACGACAGACAAGATTTTACGTTCTTGTTCTACTTGATTTCTCTTTGAATCTCATATCGGACATGTTCCTCTTCAATAATTATCCAATGTTCAAAATGGCGATGGTCTAGTTGGAAACTCCACTTTAATAATCCTACTGGCGGTCGGAAGCATCCAGTATCATCCATAATTGCAGGAGGGGAATACTCCGAAGTATTTCAGATGGTGATGTGGTGGTACAGGAAGAAGGCTCACCAAGACCCCACTTGTGATACTTCCTCCTCCCTTGACACTTTAATAAGAAGAACGAATCGAACCGAACCGAATACAATTCCACATTCTCCCGTACGAAATCCTACTCCTCGCAAACCGGACGGGAAAGATGATATAAGTTTGAATTAGCATTAGGAAAGGTAAAAAGATGGTGATGAAACATTCTTCGATGCATGCATTGTTTTTGGTGTATCCGTGGTTTTGTGAGTCCTTGACATGAAGGTTGTACATGTTGTGGACATGTTCCGCTATGTCCAAAAGGAGTCGTCTATGGTCTAGTCATGCTACTCACCTATCACCCAAAGTTGGTGAATTGGTGAAAGAACGGGTAAGATGGGGTTCCGTCTTTGGAACATGACAAAAGTCCATTTCGGCTCTAACGCTTTAACAGTAAGTATCACGGAACCCCGCATCCGTCTTTCCGCTCTCTCCTCTACCCAGATACCAGATGCTCATTCTCTTCCTGAGATCTCTTCTCCCGAGCCTGTTTATCGCACACAACCGCGTACCTTTTGAGAATTTCTCAAGTAAAGAAGCGTCAAGCCTGGGGAATTGGGGAACCGCTTCTTAACGCGGGGTTGACTCCGGTCATTAACCCTTAGCCGATTAGTCCCGAATTCGAAAATCCCCTTCGGAACATGACGGATGGTATCACGCCAACAACTATGGTTATAAACTACTCTTCATATCTACTCATCTCCTATTCCTCCTCCTCCTCTTCTTCTTCATCATCTCTGTGTGTTACTTTGCTACTTTGATCATCTGGATTATTAGTGAACAGTTGAGTTGATTATTTCGGTATTCATCAAAAAGATGTGAGTTCCGATCTGATCCGGTTATATCCTTTAACCGAGTCTGACCGCTGTTTCACCTCTTCCCCCCCATTCACACCGCACACCGGTTGCTCTCATGCTCTCTATTCTATTCTGTTCTCTTCACTACACTTACAACGAATCATCAATCAGACGTAGGAACTAAAACTTATATCATAGTATAACGAATTAACAGTCAAAACATCATAATGTTAGGACATAAACATCATTCTCATCATCATGATGAATTTGAACAAAATCAATTTTTGGGGAAAGAATTGAAATATTTCTCTCAAGCTGGGTTTGATCTAGATAGGATACATATCAGTGTGAGTTTTTTTTTTGTTTCTTTCTTTCTTTTCTTCCACTATATGTTTCGTCCCCTTACCTTCAACTTCTCAGCAGCCCGTGGAAGAATCATTGGGCGGGAGGGTGAGATTTAGATAGGGAAAATCTGAGGTTGGGGGCATGTGCGTACCTTTCTTTCGGGTCATAGCTCGTGTGATCGTTTGTTCGCATGGTGATGTCTACGTCTAACACATGGAGAAGGTGATCAGACTTTGACAGATTAATGAGTTTAAATTTGATCTTGTTACGTATCAACTACTGTATAAAGATATAAACATCGCCATTCGTAACACGATGCTACGGGACAAAGGAGGAAAGAGATGAACCTTAGAATCAGGAGATATGGGAAGGGGATGAACGGAGAAGGATTCAAGAATAATCAACTGATAGATAGCGTAACGCTCCAATCGCTTCTCTATACGAAGATGCTATCCTTAACGAAGGAGCTGTCATCTCTTCTAGTGGAGCTTTGATCAATTTCTCAGGCAAGAAAACTGGGAGGAGCCCGAAAGATAAACGTATCGTTTTTGAAGAGACTAGTAAGGATGAGATTTGGTGGGGACCTGTGAATATCAAGATGGAGTGAGTATGGGATTGATTATTTCTCCCACTTCCCCCCTCCCTCCCTTCCCCCTCCCTCCCTTCCTCCTCCCTCCCGCCCAATACCCACCCTCCTTCCCACCGCCAGGCTATCTCCTATATGGTATATGTGTGCGAGTAGCCGGGGGAAGGTTGGATTCACATCTTTACTGCAATTCGACATCCACTCAACTACATTCCGATCTAACATCCATCAGCGGTTCATGGATTCAGTCTGCATGTGGAGTAGTCCGGGATCAGTTGATCACCTCTGACACACAGCGAACATACTTTTGAAATCAATCGTGAGAGGGCCATCGATTACCTCAACACTCGCGAAAACGTCTATGTCTTCGACGGGTTCGCAGGTTGGGATCCCAAGTATCGAATCAAAGTTCGAGTCATTGCCAGTCGCGCGTACCATGCGTTGTTCATGGTGAGTGTCGCTTTTTCCGTCTCATATACTCGTCCTCTCACTCCAATAACGCCAACGCCAACGAGCGCGAAGGTGAGACGTGTCGCTGACCTCACAGCACAACATGCTTATCCGCCCCACTGCTGAGGAGTTGGCCAACTTTGGCGATCCCGATTTCATCATCTACAACGCGGGTCAATTCCCCGCTAATCGTTTCACCACCGGTATGACCTCCACCACCTCTGTAGAGGTCAATTTCAAACGTATGGAAATGGTCATCCTCGGTACCGAATACGCTGGCGAAATGAAAAAAGGAATCTTCTCCGTCATGCATTACCTCCAACCGGTCAAATTTGGACAACTCTCACTCCACTCTTCTGCCAATCAAGCGAAAACGACCGATGGATCTGAAGGTGACGTCACGTTGTTCTTTGGATTGAGTGGGACTGGAAAGACGACACTCAGTGCGGATCCTAATCGACTTTTGATCGGTGATGATGAACATGTGTGGAGTGACACTGGTGTTTTCAATATTGAAGGTGGATGTTATGCCAAGTGCATCAACTTGAGTGCCGAGAAGGTGTGTTCATCTGTCCCTTTTCTCTCACCCATATCCTCCTCGTCTCTTCTCTTCTCTTCTCAGAGTCCACACACTCTTGCTCCTCCACCACCACCACTTTTGCATCCACATGATCACTCTCATCACAATCTTCACTCAGAACGTTGACACCTCAGGAACCCGAAATCTTCGGTGCCATCCGATTCGGTTCTATCCTGGAAAACGTCGTTTACAACCCTGCGGATCGTAAACCAGACTACGACGATGTTTCCATTACCGAAAACACTCGATGTGCCTATCCTATCGAATACATTCCCAACGCTAAGATTCCCTGTATAGCAGCTCGTCAACCATCAAACATTATCATGTTAACTTGTGACGCATTCGGTGTCTTACCTCCCGTATCTCGTTTAACACCCGAACAAGCTTCTTATCACTTTGTAGCCGGTTACACATCAAAAACACCCGGTACGGAAGATGGTATCCTTGAACCTTCTCCAACATTCAGTACATGTTATGGTCAACCTTTCATCATACTTCATCCCGGTCGTTATGCAGCAATGTTGGCAGAAAGGATGGAAAAAACAAAAGCCAATTGTTGGTTGATCAATACAGGTTGGACAGGTGGGAAATTTGGTACTGGAAAACGTTGTCCATTGAAATATACAAGAGCTATAGTGGATTCTATTCATGATGGAACATTAGCAAAAGCTGAATTTGAAACTTTCCCAGTTTTCAATTTGAGTATTCCGAAACATGTCAATGGTGTACCTAGTGAAATACTTCATCCGGAAAAAGTATGGCAAGATAAAACGGCTTTCAATAATGAAGTTAGAAGATTGGCAGGTATGTTCCAAAAGGCTTTTGCGAAATATGAAGATGCTATTGATCCTGTCGTTAAGAATTCTGGACCTATACTTTGATACATGGAATGATGGATGTTCGGAGAGGAGAGACAAGGAGGGGTGGGATGAGATGAGAGGGGAGAGGATGAGGAGATGTTTTAGACGGTTACGGGTGTAACGGTTTTTGTCTAATGTGTCTTTTTTCCATTTCTTCTATGGCACAAGGCCTCACATGCATGTGTGTATGTCTATGATGTTGTGTTTATTCCATCTACACTCGAACGTTCAAAGTGTGTTTTCTCTGTTTTCGCTGATGATGAATCACTTGCTGACTTCCATTCTCCGCTCCGACGGCCGACAGAAATGCTGTTGCTTTCGACCGGTGAAATTACTTACTTTCAATGTAAATCAACTTAAGTCGTTGATGCATCCAGTCGTAACAATATCTACTCATATTCTACTCTACTCGTGACCCTAAGTACAAGAACATAGAACCATCCTTGTAAATCAATTCATCTCTCAGCAATAGCTCTCGGTGTCAACTCTCCAGTCTCTTGACCTCTTTCCAAAGCCTCTTTCAACGCTCCTGGTTCTACGGCCAAACCCAACCCATGAGTCTTTATCATCCCCCCTGTCGGAAGCTTCGTATCGGCTGAAACATCTTCTTGTACTTGTTCCGAACCCATGGACAACGGAGGTAAATGCCCAAAGTAATCTCTAGCGGTGGTGGATTGGAAGACGAGTTCGTCCGGTTCTGCACTGAGAATAGGCGTGTTTTCCAAAGTGTTTTTACGTTGTCTCAAAGGTTTAGGACGATGAGTATCAACTGCTTGAATAGGTAAAGGATAACGTTTCTCGTCACATCCATATGCCATCGGAGTTATTTTTATCAATGTGTGAAGTGGGATCTGGAAAATGAGCAACGTGAACAAAATATATTTTACCATTGGTATTTGTGTAGCATTGTTATGGAGGCTGGAGCGATAGGTATGATTTGTACACGGACGTAAATCAGTTGTGAAGGGAAAAGACGATGAAGAGAGGGGAATTGTTGAGAAGAACTCACTTTGATATACGGTAATTGATCCTGGGGCAAAGCGAGGAAATAAGCATATAAACATCGTAAAATGGCTTGATGTCCTATAATCAGAATATTCTCTTGTCTTTCCAATTCCATAATGACAGGTTCTAATCGGACCACAACATCACGATATGATTCACCACCACGATATCGGTAATTGAATTTGTCTTCGTCACGGGAGATAAAGTCCTCGGGGTATTTCTCCTATGCTCGTCAGCAATCCACACATCATATATGACATAGAGTATATAACATAGATGAGGGCGATGATGATTCGTTATGATATCCTTGGACACTGCTAAGGAATACGACGAAGACTGAGGAGGGAGGACGAAAAAGGACGAGAGAAAAGATCAAGTTCCCAAATCACCGAGTGAAAAGGTCAAAGTTCTCACCTCAATCTCCTCATACGTCATACCGTCACAAACTCCCGCATCGAGTTCATCCAAAGACTTCCAAGTTTTTTTCTCAAAAGGTAAGAAAGACCCCGTTTGCATAGTTCTCTGCAAGGTTGACGTCCACACCTACTCATCAGCACTGGGGCTCATTAAATGTGACATGATGCTCACTTCAAGAGGCCCATCACCAATATTGTCCTTGATGAGGTTAGGTAGTGCCCTAGCGTATTGCCATCCCCTCTCGGAAAGATCAGAATCTCCCCCGATCTTCCCTTCCACGTTGTATATGCTTTCTCCGTGCTGAATGTTAGCTCCGCACTACGTGTAGTAGTAGAGTTGAGCTCACTCGTGAAAGATAAATACTTCGGGGCTTGAGATGTAAGTTCATGAGATAGAACGCAATTCGGGACTGAAGATACCCTTGAATCAGGTTCATAAACACCCTCTGGCCCACATTGAATATCCGACAAAAGCTGATACCTGGCTCTTCTATCGATTGGTAGACTCTCTCGTATTGAGCGATCCGACTGAGGAAGTCTCGTTCCGCTTCTTCCCTAGACATTCCGGCGTAATCGGGATCCCCTGATTGGACTTTTAGAGCTACGTTTGCAGCGATGACGGCTGGATCTGTACAGACGGATTCTAGGAAAAGAAGTTGTAGGTTAGGGTCACGAGCGACACGTTGTCGGATCTTGTCTCGGCGCTCGATGGTGGTATTCGTAGCGTCTGTGACAGTAAGTACACTGCCCCCAAACTCAGATATTCAGAGCTCCATGTCCGAAGCATCCCCTACATCTCAAATGGATGATGAGGTGAGCTGGATTCTTGGAAAAGGGGAGGGGGGGGGCGATGTTCACAACATACCCATTATACCGACGTTACCACCCTCGGCCTTGAGCCAAGTAATGAGCATCTCCAATGATTCCTCCGCAAGCTGCTCCCTAGCCGCGTTGGCCTTAGGATCTGAATGGGAGAAGAACTTTGCTGAATGATCTGCCTTCCCCTTTCCCCTGCATGTCAGCTTTAGTCCACTGCAATCACGATAGCAGAAAGCTCACGCTTCTTGCTCATGACGAGCTTTTGTTCGCCTCAATTGACCCACGTTAAAGACCTCCACATTGTATTCCAACCACTGCCAGTCAGCTCAAACGCAGATAGTCAACATTTGAGGCTTACCCGGAGATATCTCATCAGCTTATTGCTAAGGTACGATTTACCTCTTGCAGGAAGCCCAACCATAGCCACGACAATCTTGGCTTCAGAGTAGTCTGGTTTCTCCACTATCTTGTCAGCTGCGATGCAAGGATGAGGCGGTAAAGGCACATACCGACTGCACCGATACCAGACACTGACGGAGCTCTGGTAGGGGCCTTTGAGTTTTGTCTGATGACCTTTGTACTCTCGTCCAGTGCTTTGAGCCTGACAGTCAAAACACATCCATAGATACAAGGGCGGGGCGGGGATAAGAGTAAGGAGAGACTACTCACAGTTCGGTTTGTGCCCCAAAGTGAGGTGTGCCGGGTACGCTAGAGCTGTTCCCAGTGGACATGGGTGGAGCTAATGGTATTCCGTTTTGAAAGTTCGGACTGCTAGGTCCCGAGTCTACCGGACTAGAAGACGCAGAATGAGGATTGCTTCTTTGTTTTTGCAGCATGTTCAGGTTTGACATAGCAGCCGCTAAGACGACAGGGTCGACAGGGCCGCCATGATCGTCGGGCTCATCAAAGATAGGATCTAAAACAGGTTGGACGTGAGGATTAGTGGGAGGTGGTAGGTCGAGGTCGGCCATGAGAGAGTTTGGACCCACAGGACGTAAAGCTGGCGATCTGTGGGCGGACTTGGTCCTATTGGGAGGAGGCATCGACATTGTGAACAAGAGGACTGGCACGCTCGGCGCGGCTAGGCGTAGAAAGAAGGGCTTGGTAGAGAGAGAAAGAGATTCGGGGAGAGGAGCAAGACTTTATTTGCGGCAAGGGCGATACGCTGACTTTGATCTCAATGATATTCACTATATCCTCGTGAAAGCGAAAGGTATAGGGGTGAGAGAAAGCAAGCAAGGAGCGACGAGTTGAAGGTCCGGTGAGCCGGCAAAACGTTAATGCCACGTCATTGCTGGAGCCCCACAACCTACCCCACAATTATGTACTCGTACCCCGCAAGGTTGATGCGACTCTACTCTGGTACTCGTACTCTGGCACAACATCCTTCTCATGGATCACGGAATGGCATTCTAGATAAACAAACTGCGTCATGACCAGCTACTACAATGACAGAACGAGGGACATTCCGTCTTGGGAAGATCTTCAACAAGATGACGAGGACGTTGTTGATATTTCGGAGGTGAGCCGGGCCTTCTTCCCTACAGTACCCTTTCGACCCAACCCTACAAAGCCCGCTGACATCAACAGTATCAGTATGCCTCTCGCGATCACATATTGTTTTGCGTAGATGCGTCCAGATCGATGCAAACACCTCATCCGGACCAAGAGACACCCGATGGTCTGATCAGAGGTAAAAGCGCGTTGCATCAGGTGCTCGAGGCCGTGGTCAAGATTCAACGTAGCAAGGTGATCACCGGTCCTGCTGATAGTGTGGGCGTCTTGTTATGGAATGTCAATGTGGGTTTTAGTTTTCATGTCTTCTCTTTCCGAAATGTCAGAGATTGACCGGTCATGGCACTTCAACCGATCAACGATTGGCTGATCCGTCCAGCCCGCCACGGCACCCAAATCTGCGTCAGGCAACTACAAACCCGGCACTCTCGTGTATCAATCCCTTCGTACCATCAACGCAGAAGAAATCAAACGGATCCTCAAACTTGTCGAGCGTGCCAATGGGCAATACGAAGAACAGCATGAGGACGACTCTACACCGACCGTCGAACCAGAAGCGTTAGTTGAGGCGTTTCCACCATGTGCGGAAGGCGAACAACTCAACATTGCCGATGTTCTCGTGACATGTAACTTTTTGTTTCGAGATGCGTGAGTGCTCCTAATGGGATGTGCTCGGCTCATTGAAAGCGGTACTAAACTAGCTGGGAACAAACGAGTGTTTCTCGTCACTGATCAAGATCAGCCACCTGGCGCTTCATCAAACCGCGAACCAGCTCGCACGGTCTATGGGGTCAGTAAGATCTCTATGCGTATACTCATTTGGATGCTCATAAACAGGATCTCATGACTTATGGGATCACTATCAATACGTATTTTGTCGATCGTCCAGATCACCGCTTCAACCCTACCTTATACTGGAATGTGAGCATGCTCCTTCAAATGGAGTTTGCTGATCGACAGGACATTTTAAACAGAGAAGACAACGATGGTGCTCCTGGGGATGACGACCCACCGGATATCGACGGTCTCGCTCAGTTGGCTGACGTCATGAATGATCTCGTCATCCGTCATGCTCCAAAACGAAAGCAATTCTCTATCCCCCTCAAATTTGGCGGTAAAGACGGTGAAATAGAGATCGGAGTCTCTGGGTCCGTCTTTACCCTTATAAGTCTGGAGGGTATATCTGACCCTAAGATATTCACTGGTGTCCTCACAAGGCAAAGGACAACCCAAGTACGTCCGAATGCGAGGACAACAGGTTGAAGAGGTGCTCACCAGAACTGAATACACATCAGCTGTGAGTGTACTGGTATATTTCGAGTCTGACTGACCAGATAGGAAACGGGCGCTATTCTCAGGGAAGAGGAGATCGGCCAGGCGTTTCAGTTCGGAAATGAATCGACCGTCAAAAATGTCCTGGAGCCAAATTGGTGGGAGACCAACGCATTTGAGCAAGAGCAACAAGCGCTCGCCGATGAGGCAATACGACTTGATCAAGAAAGACGGGAAAGAGAAGACGATGAAGATGAAACAATGAAAGAGAGGGAAAAGGACTTACGAACAAAAGCCGTGGCTGTCGAGGGAGCACATCCAAAAGTAGTCGCCCGAACACGGGTAGGTGTATTCACTACTGTATGTTCGCCTTTGCAGCACTGATCTGGTCAGCTTCAATTTACTTCGTCTGAAGTGGCCGAGCTTCGTTCGTTAGGTCTTCCCACTGGTATGTGCCTATGTTGCCCACTTGAATCAGAGTTGACCTGATAGGTATCAAGATTCTAGGTTTCCAGTCACCTCAAAATCTGAAATTCGACGAAAATATCCGACATTCCTTTTTCCTGTACCCGGATGAATCCGTCAGTGTTCCTGTACTCGGTCATCCTTCGCTTCACTACGAACTCTATCCCAGAATGAAGTGTAACCGTGTAGCTGATTGAATAGACTTACAGCGGCAGTACTCGGACGTTCGCCGCTCTACTCAAATCGTGTCTTAAATACAATCGTCACGCCCTTGCCTTATGTCGCTTCAAGCGCAATTCCACACCGGAATTTGCTGTTCTGATACCCCAAGAAGAGACGTTCACGAAAGAAGGAGGTCAAGATCAACCTCCTGGATTTCATGTCATCATCTTGCCATATCGTGATGACATCCGTGGGGCACCTAAGAATATGACGGATAATCTCGTTGGTGAGTCAACTCTAGCATGTTCCAAACTGGCGAATCACTGATAGTCAGCAACGGAAAGACAAGCTCAACTCATGTCGAATATCGTGAAAAGGTTGAGGATCAAAGCTGGGCATTATCGTTCGGAGGTGTATCCAAATCCTTGTGAGCCCATCTGCTTGTTTCCCCCTACTACCGCTTCCCCCGATAAACCCCTCTGTCTTGATTTCATCTTAGGAGTTAGTGCCGGGAGATCGAATCGCATTTGAGGGAGATGATATTGATCCCTTCTAGCTCTTGCATATCACTACGCTCAAATTCAAGCACTCGCGTTCGAAGAAGATTTCGACCCGTCCACTGCCACTGATCTGGACAAGACCGTCCCCAAGTACAGAGGGATGCATAAGGCCGCTGGGGATTTCATGAAAGAATGGAATATGTCCATACGAGAAGACGAGCGTGCGGTGGAGAGTTTGACGATGGCTCATAAGCGTAGTACGGCGGTGGAGGTGGGTTTTTGTCCTCTCTTTCACAATATGACTTGATCCTCGGCTGATGTCAGGTTGACGAAGATGATCTAGCAGATGTAGCGGGCGCTTTCGCAAAAGGAGAATTGACCAAGGTGATTTCTGTTTTCTATCCCCCTTTCATCCCTGTTGTATCCCTCGTTGTCTGACTGCCATGTTGTTATTCGTTGCTGCTCTGCTCGCCTTGTCCCACCTCGATAAACGTTAGAAGATCTGCTGACGACCAGCTAAAAGTACAAGAACTGAAAGATTATGCAAAGTTCAAAAGTACGTTTCAGCTACATAGTCGTCGTAATAAGCTGATCCCGAGAAATCTCGTTGGAAGGAAAGACCAAGAAAGCGGAAATCATCGAGATCCTCACTGCACATTTAGCACAAGATGGGAAGAAAGCTCGAAAGTGATACGTCACACCGTTTCGAACATTATAAATATCTGTCCATTCGTATTGTATGTATACTTGCATTCACCATATACCTTACTTTACTCTACTGATCGGATCTGGATAGATGATTCTACTGATCTTCTGTTTTGCTTGAGATGATTACTGCTTGGCGACGATCTCGACCCAATAACCTGAGTGTTAGCTACTCTCTCGACATCTCTCAGAGCCTCCAGTTGTGCTTGAAGTCTATGGCCTCAGATGGAGTCGAGGATTCCATGAAAAGGAATGAAGTCAGATAAGAAGACCAATAGTCTCGTGTAGAGTCGACGTTTCTATGAAACTGAAGAATGTTAGAGAAGAAAAGACGAAAGGAAAGGCAAGAGTAACAATAATAAAGAGTCATGAATCAGGGATAGGAAGAGGGAAAATAAACTCACCATCGGGATCATAAATAAAAGCGATATTACGCATCCTTCCTTCTTCCGGTCTCTTCTTAAATTTGACGCCGAGGTCGTCGAAACGTTTACAAGCAGCATTTAGATCATCTACAGCCTGATGATCAACCTTTGGTCAAGTGAGGAGTGAGGAGTGAGGAGTGAGGAGTGAGGAGTGAGGAGTGAGGAGGAGGAGGAGGACTGACGATACAAATATGACCGAAACCACGGGAAGGCTCTTCGTTCCCAGATACATAACCTTTGAAGTTTGGGTCTTTTTCTGAAAATTGAGCTGTCACACTTTTTGTCCGATTAATGATATTCTCTACGATTAGTTGTAGAAGCAGGAACGAAAGCAGACGTAGAAGTGGAATCGGGAATAGGAGTAGAATTTCAATTGCGAAAGAAAGAGTAAGAGTACATAGTGCAGTGTGGGTGGAAAAGAACGACTGACCAGTCCCATGATTCCAACATAGTTCCAACACCCCCTCACGTTGATTTTTCATCTTACTCTTTTCTTCCGATGTGGGATTCATCTTACCCGCCAAGGTCCAGCCGGAAGGATGAGCAAGGAAAAAGTTTGTAAAATCGTTTCCTGGACCTTCGTGAATTACCTATTTGTCAGATGGTGTCGGACCGCTTGCCTCTTATCTTCACATCTCGTCACTAAGATCGCAAAGGTTGTTTCCATGTGGGAGAGGAAAATATGAATGTTACGTCCAGTCTGATAGCACAAAAAAAGAATGTGAAAATACAGAATCAAACTCACTTCCATACCTAATACTTCCTTGTACCAAGGTAAAGAAACCTCCGGGTTTTTGATTCGGAACATGGTATGGTTAAAGATGTACGTAGAAGGGTCGGAGCTCATTTTGGCTAAATGTGTGGCTGTAAAGCTTCTTCTTAGTGTGATAGGTGCAACTAGTTTGACAGATTCGATTACTGGGACTCTTTTGAAAGATCTGAGAGAAGTGAGAGAGAGAAAGGACATGAAGATGTTGAGAGAGAACCGAGGTTGCTAAGGTAAGTAATTGTGTAGGTGACGTCAGTGATGTTGTCGGATCTTCCTTTGAGAAATGCGGCATTTTTCGAAACGATTGTCACTACTTTTTGACATCTGTCATATGTATGTACTGTACATTTACTTTCATCTCAACAAATCAGATCGTTACAAGTACAACCATAGTAGATAATCTGGATCTATCATAGAAGTGGCAACATTTAAGCATAGTCAAGTTCTGTGAGATATACAGAACCAGAGGAGTACAATATGGATATCACTGATGGAGGATCCATTGCCGGACCTTCAAACTTGACGCTCGAAGAGAGAAGTACGGATTTAGAATTCATGTCGATACCTTCTGTTGTAGGACGTGAAGCCGGGGAAAGGGATCCTCTATTGTTGAGAAGTAAACTTGTTAGTCATGAAGATATTGATGGTCTCAAACAGTGAGTTATAACGGAACTCCATATCAAATAACTATGTAGATTATATCCCTTCATCCAGTATTAAGAATCACGACAGTATCACTGACTTACTCGTACTACTGGTGACCTTGATTTTGAGATGAGTTGGATCTGATACGAAACTCGATCCCCCTGATCACTACTACTCTTCGACGAGATCAAGTGATACAGCCTCCTATCATCATGTTGTTGTTATAGGAAATGGAGAGATTGTCGTGTCAAATGGGATATGATCATGGAGAGGAGTGAAAAAGGGAGATTGAATTGACCTCGCAGTCGGAAAAAAGGAAAGAAACTTGCCAATTTCTACCAAAATCAAAATGATCATATAACCACCGTTCTCAAACCTCTAGACATCTTATCAGCAGAAGGAGAACAAGATATCAAAGATAACGCTTTGAAAGTTCGGATAGCCATCAACGTGTCTTTCGCTGCTAATATTGTTTTGGCTGGATTACAACTTTACGCAGCTATTAGTTCTTTGTCTTTAGCTTTGTTTGCAAGTTGTATTGATGCTGTTTGTGAGTGATCTTGATCTACTCTTCATAATCCTTATCATTCTTTTGATAAAATACTCTGTGTCGTATAGTTGTCCAGAAATCGGCGTGGTTAGGGTCGAGCAGGAAGGAATTGAAAGAAAAGAAGAATGATGGGTGTGATTGATGAATACGCTGACAGACAGTTGACCCATTAGCAAACCTCATCTTATGGTTAGCTCATAGAGCTTCGAAAAATGCAGAAGAAAAGAAATGGCCAGCTTCGGGATCTCGATTCGAAACTAGTATGTTCACTTTTCTCATAGATTTACCACCACAGGTTTAGCGCTGAACGTCATAGTGTTGGTTTATTTCTTCGCATTATGAGTAGTCAGCTAAAATCGATTTTTCAGAGGCAATATCGGTAAGTATTGAATGAAAAATGGTGTTGGGATGTTGAATCTTCAGTTTACGGTTCAATAATGGGTGGAGTGAACGTTATCCTCATAGTCGAATCAATACAGGAATTCATCACTCATTCAGGCGACGAACTACAACAGTTCCATTTGCCCTCTATCATTGCAGTCGGGATCGCATTTGGTATGCCCCGCTATTCATCTCCATTCAGTCCATCTGTATGTGACAAAACAACTTTCAATCAATCCGTTCATGCTCGTCTCTCACCCACCTTGATTGATTGGAAGAGAATGGCTGATGGAAACAGTCACTAAGCTAGCTTTATTTTTATATTGCTATGCCATTCGAAGCTCTTCATCTCAAGTTCAAGTTTTGTGGGAAGATCATAGGAATGATCTTTTGACGTAGGTGTTCTCTCGAGATGTGGCACTATAGCTGATAGGTAGGAATGGGTTCGGAATATTGACAGCTGCCGGAGGAGCAAAGTTGGCTTGGTGGATCGACCCCATGGGAGCTACGATCATCGCCGTGTGTATCATTGCCGTTTGGACGAGGACTGTTTATGGTATGTTGAGTCGGGTCGTTCCGAGACAGTAAACATCCTGCTTTTCGTTCCAGGAGGAAGACGGAGAAGTGGGGAAGCGGAGTCGAGGTGGAGTCGAAGTTCAGTAGGACAAGATGTGTGTGGAGGTGAAGCGGGGGGAAGGTGGGGACCTACTGAAGTGGGGGTGGGGAGAAGGACGGACAGGGGACATTGCTGACGTGGGGATGCGCAGAGCTCTGAGTAGAGACATAGACGAAGTAGAGAGACGGGTGACAGCAGAGACATGAGACAGAGATAAGTTACTGACAAAATAGAACAGTTCACTTTCCTAGGAGGTATCACCGCCCCACCGGAATATCAAAACCTAGTCACTTATCAAGCTATGACGTTCTCCTCTGATATTCAAAAGATTGATACTATCCGTGTGTATCATTGGGGACCTCGATATATTGTCGAGTGAGTTTCCAAATTTCGCCTTTTTTCAATTGTGTTGTTCGTCAGATTGGATATGGCTGATTGTCGCAGAATCGATATCGTGTTAGACCCTCACATACCATTATGGAGAGCACATGATATCTCGCAGGAATTACAAGACAAGATTGAAGCTTTGCCTGATGTAGATCGATGTTTCGTTCATGTGGATCATGAGGTTGAACATAAACCAGTGAGTAATGTATGGGATTGTTTGAAAAGCCGATCTGATCCGTTCAGGAGCATCGAAAGAGAGTGTGAAGATGTAGGGTGTACGATTAAGCTAAGTACTGATTTCAATGTGATTGTTTATTTGTGAAGGTAGGGCTGCCATGTGTTAAAGATGAGAACAAAGGAGTCTTGATACAACACTTTATACAACTAATGTCTGACTGACTTTACCATGGTTCTTAACTCAGTCCTACTAGCGCAGGAGAAAAGACAAGAAGACAAGCGGGTGAGAGAAACGAGGCTGACATGAGGCATTGATGGCATCACATTGTTCATTTTTGATCATCATTTAGGAACGCGCTATCCCGAATTAAACGAGGCCCCAGCACGTTTCACCTCTTTGTCGGCACTCGGCCATTTACATAAAAGAAAACCCCATCAGCATCAAAATTCCCCCATTCTCATCATCCCCATCGAAAAAAGACATGGTCGTTCCATGGTTCTCGTCCACCCATTGCGTACTACTATCACTCATATCCGACGCCCCTCCTCCTCCACTATCCCAATCACACTCAATCTAAAGGACTCCATCTCGTACACTTTCTCTTCTCTTTCACAACATTCAACTCGGAAATCGCGCCCTATCATCTAGCACTCGGCCCTCAAGGCAGAGGCTACACCCAAAATTATCTACAGATCGATGGGCTGCTGCTGTTCCACTGTGAGTATTTATTCCAACCCCTTCCGAACAAAGCTTGACCAGAGATTATAGCCTTACGGATACGGAAACGATTATTATCGAGGTTATAACGGATATTACGATTGTCCCGCTCAGTGTTGTGACGAAGATTTTTACTGTTGTTGTTGTTCCTGTTGCGACACGAGGTATAGGCAAGGTGAGCTCCATAGAACTTACATAGCACTCACAGACTTTCATAACTTCCCAAACCCCCCTTTTCCCTCTCTCCTCGAGGATAGAATTCCGTCATGCTTCTTTGCTTCTCCCGCTTCTTTTATATTTCGCTTTTCGTTTACCAGCCACGAGGTGCGGAGCGGTGTATGTGTTTGTATATGAGGATTGCGAATATTTCCATGCTTCTTCTTTAGCTTATGGAATCGTGGGTCGTGGAACCATCCCTTCTTCTTCCGCTTTCAATCTATTTGTATTTTGGTTTTCTCTTTTCACCCGTCAGCGCTCCATAGCTTGTCACACCTGAAACTGGCACCTGTCTTAGGTGTAGATCGACTGATCTTTCAGGTTATCCACCCAGTTATCCCGTACCAGTACCTATCGCTCAACCTATCGTCATCCCACCCAGTCTACGTCCGCCACTTACACCATACCAAGCTTTTTCAACACCTTCTATCCCACCTCCTCGAGCATTTTCCACTCCGATAGGTCCTCCTATCCAACTAGTACCTCCCACACCTCCAGGCTATCCTCCAGTTTTTCGTTCATACTCCACACAACCTTACTTGAATCAGACCCCGGCATATCAATACAATCAACTTTCACCTCATCTTGAACAACCTCAATCTTTTGCTTCTCCTTATCCCGCCCCAACACATACTCATAGACATCGACCTCATCGTCGACATTCTATTGATTCTCCCTACCCCCGAGCTGTAATTGAAAGAAACAATCAACTCGGTCTTCATACTTCTCCCGCTCAATCGTATCAATCCCCAAATTGGAGTGAACCAGCTCCTTTACACAGAAGTCATTCCTTCGATCGAAACCAATATCATCAGACTGTCCAACCGGGTGAAATCGAGGAATATGAACAAAGATACTTCGCATCTCAACGTGAACCCTGGTCAAGACAGAGGCCGAGTAGAGATAGGTCACAAACGATCCAGTAGTGATTTTCTCTCTCCTAATTCAGCTTTGAACTCATCTCATCCTCCTCCCGCTCCGACGAAATCACCAAGACATATTCACCCATCACCGGTACCGCCGATCCCTACCAAATCCCCAAGACATGTTCAAAATTTGAAAATCGATACCGATGTCGATTCCTCCGGAACACCTACACCTGGTCAGAGAGCTCGTACTTTGTCCAACACGGAGACTTTCTATCCTACTCAGGATAGTGCTAAGGAAGCATTAGAATCTGAAAGAAGACACAATCCTGAGCATCGTAGAGTACCCAGTCCGTATACTCGTCAAATCAGAAAAGTCGGTTCGGAAAGATCTCTACGGTCTAGAGTATCATTCGATTCAGGTCGTCGAAGTGCAGCCAGTGATCGTTCAGATGGTACTGATGGGGCTACGGTCGGACCTCAAGATGTCACACGTCAAGTAGGAGCTGGTGGTGAAGCTATAGAATTTATAGCTTCTGGTCATAGAACCCCTCGACATCGAAAGTTCTCCGCGGGCATGTTGAAACCCGCTTTGAGGAGTACTTCGAGAGTTAATAGTTGCGTCAACTTACCTGAATTATTGGCTTCTAACCGCCACGAAGAGCGTAGGAATGAACATCATGATAGATCTATGGATCATGATAGATCAAGGGAACATGTTCATTTATCAAATCCACCAGCTTCAAATGGACATCATCCAACTTCTGCGGGACATGGAAATATTAATACCAACTCCAGTATGTCCAGTACCAGATCTAGATCCCGATCTAGATCTAGACCAACATCGAGTTTGCCATTCAGTAGTAATCTCTTTGCTTTGGGTCGACAACATTCAAGACATCCTTCTGATCCTCTTACAGCTTCTCCAACTGAGATCGATCATCCATCTTCCACCTCTAGACCTATGGGTGGACATATAGCTTCTATGTCAAGTGTTCAATCACAGGCGGGAAGTGGGATAAGAGGTATTTTCTCTTCATTATCTTTGGAACCACGTAGACCATCTCAACCACCTACTCTATTGTTACCGGCAGATCAACTACATGCTTATTTGGCGACTGCCCATGTACCCAATTGGACCAAATGGCCCGTTCTACCGACTAGCAAAGGATTCTTCGGGAAAAGTAAAGGGTTTGATGCGATGAGTTGGGAATGGAAGAGGAGGTGGCAGTTGGCAGAAGAGGGAAGACAATTTAGAACGTTAAGAGTTTGGGATGTTAATCGAGAGTTTGAGAGGGAAGCTTTGCAATGTGAGTTTTGTCAGTTTTTTCAACTTCTCTTCTTCTCCTCTCTCTTTAGCGAAACGTTCCCCTTTTACTCCTAGCTGCTTGAGAAATCCTCCTATTCATATGTCCACTTACATCCCCATTGACATCCTCCTGTCTTGCCCTGACCTTGAGGTCGAGGTATGTCTATTGGTCTGTATTTGAATCGCTGAGACGTTTCCCATCTGATAAGAGAGCGGAGTCCTCGTAACCTATTTATTAGCGAGCTGATACCCCAGTTCACCAGGAAAAAACACCTCAACATCCTATACCCTTCCATGATAGATGGGGAAAACAGTCAGCTCTTCTTCCACGTCCTTTCGAAGCTGACCAGTTAAGAATATTTGCCCTACCTGCTGAAGGTTACGAGACGTTGGAATTTTTCGACGAAGAAGCTAACGTGGCTGATGATCATGGTCTTTTATCCTGGCTCACTAATTCCGTACGTCTCTCTCCCTCATCCTTACCTTCCCACTACTTCAAGCATTACATCTCCTCATGCCCCACTTTCCCCATCTCTGACTATGACGGTCAGAAGTGATCTTCGTCTTCTTGTGCTACCTGTGATAATCGCCTGAACAATAGACACTGGGACCTTTTGTCATAAGAATGGTGAACGATTGCCAGTGTCCGTTTGCTGACATTGGCAGTTACTAGCCACAGCCACTTCCGCACTTCATATGACCCGTTTCTCTTCCCAATCCTTCTCTTTCCATCTCATCCCCGCTCCATACCCACCAACACCGACAAGCTACGTGAACGAACGTGGTACTCCCAAACATTGTCTCTGGGAAGGTTTTGGAACATTAGCATTAGTCAACAGATCCCAAGATTCAGATAGAGCGATGATTATTGAAATCCGTCCTCCAAGTGTTGTAGATAGTGGAGTTTTGAATCATTTCGCCAGACAATCAAGGTCAGAAGGATGGTGGCATTTACCCGCTGAACTATGTGTGGGTGATATGGGACAGGCTAATTTACTCCAAGCTCAAGTGAGCCCCTCATCTGAATTTTTGAGTGCCAGTACACCTTAAGCTGATGGTTAGGTTTATGATGATTGCGTTTCGAATCATGTGTTTTACTTTGCGGTTACCAATCTTAAATATTGGGTGTTTGGTCGATTTGTAAGTTTCTTCACTGTCCCTTCTTTTGGTTATTTTGTCCGTCCTTGAGGTTATTTTGGTTCAACTTCTGTTCATGTGGAATGAAGAGCTGATTGGAAGAACGCAAGTTACACGATGTGTACGGTTTCTCCTATTATTGAACGTAAACAACGTAATCCGTCTTTGATGCAGTGTCTCACAGCATGGACGATTAGTGCGTATGATGATGTGAGTTGAAGTTTCTCTCTTTCCTCAATGTACTCCAACAAGATCTCACAAATCCTGGCGCAACGCGACGCTTTCTCTGGTAATCACACCTAGACATTTCGAGCCATCTTGTTTCCGTTCCGACCCCTTCGTCCCCACTGTGAGAGGGTATTTCTGCCCAGGTCACTACGATAACATCATAGTCAAAATTCACCCGCTCACTTTTAGCGCCCCGGAGCCGACAACCCCCACGTCGAAACTCCTCAACCTGAACCTATCCGACTAGCCCCCACTTCCCAACCCGTCCCACCTTACTCTGACCCCCGTGCGCAAGCAGGATCATTCTCCACCCTCGCCTCATCTGCCTCATCCATGGCCCCGCTCACACCCCAGGGTCCAATGATGGGTATGAACATGGGATCGGGTTTCATGCCGATACAGAATCAAGGTTACCCTAAATTTCCTCCGGGTTATTACGACTTGCCCCCATCGCCGTTCGCCCCTTCACCTTCTCCAGCACCGGGTGGGTATGGGTGGAACACACAGGGATATGGGTCGATGGGGTATGGGGGTTGGGTGAATGGGTATGGGTATGTGAGGTGATTATCGAATATTTGATTTGTCCATATTCTCGGATTCGTCCATTATCTGGAACGCAAGATCCTGATGGTCTGGATTGAAGCCCCGGATGAAGTTAATATCTGAGTCCTGGTGGGGAATGAGGATATCTGGCATTTTGAGGGGCTTGTCACGGTCTGTGAGAAGTGGACATACAGTCAGCAGAGTGGTCTAGGGAGGAACATAGGAAACAAAATCAGTGAGGATCAGAGTGGATATGTGAGTAATCGTAGTATATCTTGATTGATCTTGTGAGCATCTTGTTTGTGGTCTTGAGTGTTTGAATGTGACAACGATGCAGATGAAACGATAATGGTACAAACATGACATGTAGGATCAGAATCCTGTGGGATTCTCTCGTAAAGTCAACTGAGAGTCAGCGTATGTTGAGCAGCGTTGGATCATAGGGGTAGACCATAACCCCTGAATAATGAACCAGGGCAAAGCTCGACGTGAAAAATGTCAAGCTGCAGCGGTTGAGAGGGTTTGACAAAAAGATCGTGTCTAAAGGACGATAGCGCTAGATGAGTCTACATCGGAAGACTACTCAGCTGAACGTTGGGCAAGATGTGGAGGGAGGAGGATCAGAAAGTAGGACGGTCAAAGAAGGGCAGGATACAAGGGACAGGAAGAGGGTCGAGTAAAACGAATAGGAAGACTAACCCTTGTCCATTTAGGTACCTTATGGACTGATTTACGATACCCTCTTACATGTTTAGTGAATGTTGTGTATTTATCTGATCATAAGCGGCATTCTCAAGGTCGCAGACAACTTTCGGGTTGTCCATACCTGACAATTGGAATGCGACAGGTAAAGAGACATGTCTACCCGACAGGTAGGATACATGGAATACAACAGGTAAAGAGACATATATACCCGACAGGTAAGATACGACAAGTAAAGCGATGAATGATCGTCAAGTTGACGAGAGATCCTCATTTTCCCAAAAGAATGTGAGATCTTATCATATGAAAAACAAGGTTGGAATATTATATAGGGAAGGAGGAAATGAGAAGACCAGGGAGACTGGGAGAAATCTAGTCATCTGGTTCCATAGAATCGGGGGGAAGAAAGAGAAAGACGAAGGGACTCTATTGAAGATAAAAACGGTAAAAGAAAAGAACAAACCTCTAGGATTCATCTCCCCTTCTTTTGGTAATTCTAAAGCTTTCACAAGTGAACGAGTTTGAACCCCACTTTCTTCCACAGCAGAAATGACGGAATCCACGGCTTTTAGTCTTTGTCTATGGTTTGTTTTTCTAGTGGGAGATAATCTGAATGGTGATTTCCTATTCCCATTAGACTTCAAATACATTTCAGTCACTCATTCTTCTTTCTTCGTCAAGAACATCGCCTCCCAATTTTACTGGTAGCTGTAATACTCCCTCTTCATCAACATTCAAGCGGAGTTAGGAGTTCTTGTACTCTCTAGTGAGCTGACACGATAGTATCTTCCAACATGACCACCTTTGATCATATTATATAGATATCTACGAATAATAATGTTTCTCCCGTATCATTGACGACTTCTTCTCTTCATCATCCTCTCTTTCTCGAAGGAATGATACTATCTACGCATATAACTCAAGGGGGTCAAAGGATTTAGACATTTGTGTTAGACGTTATGGGTTTTCGAAGATGACGAACGAGTCGAAGATGGAAAAATAGAGGGAGTAGAATGAAAGACGTACCATAACAACCCTCCCATAGAGACAGAACTAGGTCTGAAAGCCCCTAACATGGTGTGAATATCGTGGACAGAGCACTGAGATCGAAGTTCAGAGCGGAGGGGAAAGGGAAGGGAAGGGAAGGGAAGTGCCACTAAAGCTGGTATACCCAAACGCCGTGTGAATGCGTGACTGGGAATTTCGGCTGCGGAGCCCCACACCAATTTCTGAGACATGGTGACGATGGCAGCTGTCATAGAGTAACTACAACTCAACACCATAAGTACACAAATACTCAAACACCAAACACTCACAATCCAAGCATGGTGTCATCGAAATCGCACCTACTCAGTCAAGCAACAGTGTATATCATGACGATTTGACGGAACTATACATGCCACCATCTCATACGGACATGCGGATCCAATCTTTGCCTCTGAAGGCCGATCAAACTTGTCACACGGCTCAGTCTGGCCAAACTGGAATCATCCAACTGTGCACAAGGAGAAGGACAGAAGACAAGGAATGACGACACTATGATCTTATGATTTTCTTTCTGTCAATCTCTTCGGGGTGGATATGACGATCCTACCACCTTTGGCTATATACGTCTCAAGTCACGATTTTCTGATCTCAGATCCCCGGTCCTGATTCGGATCTTGGTCCATTGATGTCCTCATCCATCTTACCTTTTGATTCAGTCACGCAAATCTTCACTCTACTTTTAACTTCTTTCAAAATCTCTTTACTCCTTATCAATGTCTTGACTAAGAGTCGAAAAGATGGGGAAAGCTGGGTCCCGTT